CTCAGTGAGGGGTCTGCTTTAACAGGATTACCTCAGTGAGGGGTCTGCTTTTACAGGATTACCTCAGTGAGGGGTCTGTTTGGCTTGATTCCCTCAGTGAGGGATTTGTTTGACAGGATTACCTCAGTGAGGGATCTGTTTGACTTGATTACCTCAGTGAGGGGTCTGTTTGACAGGATTACCTCAGTGAAGGGTCTGTTTGACAGGATTACCTCAGTGAGGGGTCTGTTGACAGAATCTGCTCCTATGATGCTGCTTGGCCTGCTGTGTTCATCCAGCTCTGCACCTTGTTATCTCAGTGAGGTGTCTGCTTTAACAGGATTACCTTAGTGAGGGATCTGTTTGACAGTTGAGGATAACTGTTAACATTGCTAATTGACATCTTTTAAGTGCTGACAAATGTAGTTCTTTTTCTGTAATCTCTTTTGTCAACATTGGAATATTTATTGACACAGTTTTAAAAACAGAGTGAAGTGTTTGCTGCCTCTGTTGTTAATACTTTATTGGTCTCTCTGATGCTTTAAAAGTCTCCATTATCCTAGCAGTCCATAGGGATGCTGTATCATTAGAGATACCTGATTGGTGGTAGTTTAACCTGATGGTCATCACACCTCAGGTGAGGGATGAGGTTGAGAAAGAGAATCCTTCATGGTAACCTAAGCTGGTATGGGAAATTAACCTACACTGTTGGCATCACTCTGCATCACAAAGCAATTGTCTAGCCAACTGAGCTAACCGATCCTCCTCTTTTACAGGGTTATCGGAGCAATATTTTTTTTAAAATGTGAATGGAGTTTATTTTTGTTTCTGAGCATTTCAAACATGCCAGTATTACTAACTGGCTCGTTGGTTCTGTAAATAGTATGGTTGGTTGAAAGGGAGGGTCCTAAACTGGCAGGAGTTAACATGGGGACGAGAAGGAGTCATGAGGTAGATGCAGGCGTGTATTGGAAGAGAGTTAGAATGGAACAAGCGTTGCAAGCAATATGGGTAAAACCTTTTGATCTAATCATTCAACATGTTACAATGTTCCCAAAGCCACTTTCCTTTGAGGAGCTGTGAAAGATGTCATTTAGAAGCTGTCCCGACTCCCACAAAATTTGAACAGGATCCCTCGCCAGTAATGGAGCTGGTCAGTTCAGTAAGCTTATTACCCTTGGTGTGCAGGGATGTGTGGGCTAGGTGGATTAGCCATGTGAAATACGGGGTTACTGGGATAGAGTAGGAGGCTGGGTCTGGGTCTGGATGGGATGGTCTTCAGAGGGTTGGTGCAGACCCGATGGGTTGAATGGCCCCTTTCCCCACTGCAGAGATTCTGTGACTCTCTAAATTAAGGAATGTGGTGGAATACTCTTCACTTGTCTGGAATGGTGCAGCTCCAACAAGACTCGGGTAGCTTGCAACCATCTAGGAGATAGCAGCTTGTTTGATTCACATCCCATCTACCACCTTCAACGTTCACTCCCTCCATCACTGATGTACAGTAGCAGCAATGTGTATCACCTACAAGATGCAGCAATTCACCAAAGCACCTTTGACAGCACCTTCGAAACACGTCCTTCTAGGTGATAGAGGGCAGCTGATGCATGGCATCACTGCCTGCAATGTCCCCTGTCAGCCACACATCAGCTATTCTTCCATTGCTTCATTGTCATTCAGTCGAAGTCCTGGAATTTCCTGCCTATTGGCATTGTGTGTGAGTCCGTGTGTGTGTGAGAGTCCGTGTGTGAGTGTGTGTGTGTGTGTGTATGTATTCCTGCACTCTTACCGTCACAGTGGCTATGCGTGGCTGTGGTTCACCATCACCTTCTCAAGGGCAATAAATGCTGGCCAAGACAACAACACCCAAATCCAGTGAAAGAGGTTTTGGAAATAACACTCGAGGACTCGTGTGCAGTTAGACACTTTATTAGCACTTAAGGCAACTTTAAGCACTTCAGACAACTGTAAATGGAAACTGGTGAGGAAACAAGTCGTAAGTTCAAAGCACAAACCATTGAGTTACAGGCAGAAGCTTAGAAAGTTGAAAATGTTTCTTTGCAGTAAAACAGGTTGACGTTCCATGTTGTTAAAATGCTGGAAAGTCAGCGTAATGATAGTTGAGTTTATATAGGTGAGATATTATAAGGTAAAATTGCCTTAGTCCCAGAGGACCATTGGTTTGCTACCTCAGAGAGAGATGACTGGTGGTGTTTAGTCAGGGTTGAGAGGGAGAGTCCTTCATGTTAATCTCAGCCAGTGCAAGAATTGAACCCATGCTATTGGCATGACTCAAACCAGCCATCACAAAACTTAAAACTGCATTTCAAATGAAAATTTCTTTGAGACAATGTCTATTATTATATGCTTTGGAAGAAGTGATTGGGTAATTAAAATTCAGCTGTGAATTCAAGATTACTTCATTCAGTGCAAATTGAATGTTCTTCAAAGTTAGACAATGAGGGATCAACTTTTCTCCTGTTATGCAATCATGCAGGGCAGGTTTGTAGGGTGAATTGTGCCAAATCCTCAGTCTTTTCAGGGAATGTGTAAGTGGAGCCTTCACTGATAAATTCCAGGTGAGGAGGTTATTTAAGTGTCGCGCTTTGTCTTTAGGAGATTATGTAAGCAAGTCAGAGTACCGGATAAACTGCTTGGACACCAACAGTTCAAACTATTGCAGTCTGTTTCTGGAATTGATGGGAAATAAATAACTTTGGAAATTGTTGGAAAAAAAACTTACAGATCCCAGTAAATTGGGGGAAAAAAGGCAAAGAAGCTACTCTCCATCGAGACAAACCTTTTGGGAATTACGAATATAAAGAGAACAAACTAGATGCAGACAAGACACAACAGTCAGTCTTTCTCTTTAATGAAGCAAGATTAAAGCAGGTGGGATAAATAAGATCTCTTTCTCTCAGCTGCAACGGACTAAGTGAAGTGCTAATTAACCAATTTGGTCACAAGTGACAGCACAAAAACAGCCCATAATTCAGAATTGATTCGTTTTTCTATTTCATGCCTAATTGTTCTTCCCAGAATTTCAGGAGCAACTGTCTTAATGTTCCCTTGATGCAAGTGTCTAATTAATATCAAGGAACTGAATTTAACTGAGCTGGGCTTTTATTTCTATCACAAACCCTGTCGCACAAACAATTCTTGAGGGGAATGGTGGGGGGTGTGCTTTAACCCCCCAGCCGAATGGGTCAGGTAGGATGCTGTAATGTTAAAATGCTCAAACCTGAACCTGATCCAACTTGAATCTGTCGTTTCAATAGAAATGGCCAGATAACCAACCTGTTCCCAGGTTGTTCATTTATTTACTTTACTGACACCTCCAGTTGAAACTGAATGTTGGTTTCCTGATCTTTGGAAAATCAGGAAGCTTAAGGGAAGTGAGGGCTGGTTCAGGTTGTATGTTGCTTTCTACCACTGCTGGTGGATCCAGGGGAAACAGGAGTTTTATTTTGATTCATTCATGGGATGAGGGCGTCACAACATGTGTTGCCTGAATGGCCCAGAGGGCAGTTGAGAGTCAACCACATGGCTGTGGGTCTGGAGTCACATGTAGGTCAGACCAGGTAAGGATGGCAGTTTCCTTCTCTAAAGGACAAGAGTGAACTACATGATTTTTTCCAACAATCAACAATGGATTCATGGTCATCATTAGACACATAGTTCCAGATCGGGGCAGCACGGTGGCTCAGTGGTTAACACTGCTGTCTCACAGCGCCAGGGACCCGTGTTCATTTCCACCCTCGGCCAACTGTCTGTGTGGAGTTTGCACGTTCTCCCCATGTCTGCTTGGGTTTCCTCCGGGTGCTCCAGTTTCCTCCCACAGTCCAAAGATGTGCAGGTTAGGTGGATTGGCCATGCTAAATTGCTCGTAGTGTTCAGGGATGTGTAGGATAGGTGGGTTATGGGGGATGGGTCTGGGTGGGATGCTCCAAGGGTCATGTGGACTTGTTGGGCTGAAGGGCCTGTTTCCATACTGTAGGGGTTCTATGATCTATGATTTTATTGACTTCAGATTCCACCATCTGCCATGGCAGGATTCAAAGTCTGGGTCCTGAAACATTACCTGGATTTCTGGATTAACAGTCCAGTGATAATAGCACTAGGCTGTCACCTCTTAATCGTAAACAGATTATCTGACCATTATCACATTATTATTTGTGGGAGCTTTCTGGGTACAGAATGGCTACTAGATTTCCTACAATAAAACAATGACCACATTTCAAAAGTATTTTCGTTGGTTGTAGAAGTGCTTTAAGATCTATGGAGATCCTAAAAATATGCTATTTAGATGCAAGCATTTCTCATGTTTATTAGACATAGGGTTGGAATGATTTATCCAAGCTACGTGCTATATTCTCACTAATGCTGGTTACTCATTGTTGTTCGATGGTGTTTTGACAGGTACTCTATTGATCGTAACACTGACATGGAGAGAATATTTAATATGGATGCCAACACTGGAGACATCACAATTGCAAAAAGGCTAGACCGAGAGACGGCAGGATGGCATAATCTGACCGTGATAGCAATGGAAGCAGGTAGGTGACATTTAAATGAATCAGTTTGCTTTTCAATGGCTTTTGTTCAGTGGGAAGGATGAGTCATCTGTCTGATCGTGGTTTGCATGCTGAAAAAGAATGTGGGAACAGAAACAAAAGTGAACTACATAGAGAGATTTATAAGATAGAACATTTGAACAGTGGAGCCTAGGTTGAAAACAATAAAAATATGAGGATGGAATAGTGGGGAAAAGTGCACACAAAGGTCAAAGAGCTAATTCAATCCACAGGTATAGGCAGGAGGTGAGGGGATGGATGCAGGGGTTGGAATCAGGAAGGAAATTGGAAAGTACACTGCTCATCAACTTCCCAGCTCCCTGCGATTCTGTCAGGGGCATAGGAGGTTGAGGATGGGCAGCCACCCTTCTGCCAATTGAGGGTCATCTAAGGGCATTACCTGACTTGTGATGGTAAATCACCAGTAGGGGCTTGGTGTGATGTCACATGGGCAGACCGTCAAGTTAAAACTGGCAGTACCCTGTGGGCTCCAGAGGAGAGAGTTGGATGTGGTGGGCAGCGTAGTAAGTCCCTACTTAGTTCTGGGATCTCCTCCTTGATAGTTTCTCCCAGCTGGCTGCAGTACCAACAGCATAGAGGTGCTGCCAGCCCTTTGACTGTCCAAATGTTGTAGGCGTCTCAGCCTTAGAGGGACTGACACCCCAGAGTAAGACTGCTATATGCCTCTAGGGTGTAGAGTTGCACTGGGGCTCCTGGAAGCAGCCACAGTGGAGTTGTCCCAAATTTCCAGCCTGCAGTAAGAGCCATCTCCATCATTAATTTCAACTGAGGTAACCAATGTAGCACAGTGTGAGAAAAGCTGATGGAGGGAAAGTGAGACAGGAGAAAAGCTGGGATTCAAATGAACTATCTTGGATAACTTAATCCAAAGGAGAGGAGATAAGCATGAGTTTTGAAGCCTCCATGAGTTTGCTGAACAAAGAGTTAAATATTTGGATCTCTCTGAGATACGTACTATCGAGTATTCAATTATACAATGTTGTTTCCATTTTGTATGTACATTTCCACAGTTTTTGTCAGGTGTATTAAGTTTCACGGATGTATCTGATAATGTCGAGAAACATTAACATTGTGACCAGTACCTCACACCCAAACAGTTACTTTGTCAATTTCCCACAGTTTTCCATTCCAAACAGGGCAGTACAAATTCACAATCCTGAAATAATATTGCTCGTTCATAAGAATGAACTTGATGAGGTGAGTTTTTTTTTCTCAGCAATGTTTTTCTTGTTTTCACGTCTCTACTTTCTCTTAAGTGATCGTCGCCTACACCGACAAGTATAAAACCCAATTGTACATTGCGCCTCCTATCTCTAGTTTGTAGTTTGACACAGGACTTTCAATTCTAGCTGTGGTAGAGATCTCTAAAATTATGAAATGATTTATTCGAGCAGATGTGGAGAAGATGCAAAGGAAACCCAAAACTGGTGATCAGAGGCATAAGACAGTCGCAAATAAATCCAGATAGAAATTCATGGGACACGTTTTCATCCAGTAAATTGTCAGAATGTAACTGAGGCAAATTTGGATAACTGCATTTTAGGGTAAGCTGGGTAGACACATAAGGAAGAAAATATTAGAAAAGAAAGAGTGGGGGAAGTTTAATGTAGAACTTAAACATCAGAATAGGTGAGTTTGGATGACCTGTTTCTCTTCTGTAATTTCTGTGTAATAGCTTTCTACTGTTGTTATTTCCTTTGCGCTTTGCATTCTATGCCAGCTCCGCACATTTCTCTTGTGGTTGTTAAATGTTAGTTTAACAGTTCTATTTCCTGGCTAGCATTCTTTCAAACTGCATTTGAATGCATAAGAGGTGCGGGACTTTGAATTAAATGACTGACCCACAGTTCACTTCAGCATATCTCCTTATGCCAAACAATTTCTGTTTAATACACACAATACTCCTATAACATCTGGTCCATGGCAACTAATCCATTTTTCTCATTTCATCCATGCAGTTAAAATAAATTTCGGAATAGATGTCCTCCAATTGATGGAAGACAGAATTTCATTTCAGTGACAATGTTTAAGTTTCGCCACTAGAGGGTGATCTCTCACTCTTTGCTCACAGCTTATTACACCCAGAGAAATGTCAACATGAAATTTTTTTTTAATTGCAGCCCTTAAATCTATAAAACATTTCTATTTTATATGGAACATATTTCACAGATCCCTTATTCCTGAGTACTCTATTCACATGCATAGATTTAGACCATATAAGTTAGAATGCTCCACCAGTTTGTGTTCCGTGTATTAATCTATTGGTTCTCACACCTGAGTGATGGCTCAAAAGAGATGTCCACAAGTGTCAAATGAAGATAAAAGTAAACTCAGTTGCATGCTTTGGGCCCTGACAATGTTCCGGCAAAAGTTCTGAAGAATTGTGCCTCAGAGCTTGATAAGCCCCTAAACATGCTGTTCCTGTACAGCTACAACACTGGCATCAATCCAACTAGAAGGAAAATGATCAGGTAGGTCCTGCACACAAAAAGGAGGTCAAATTCACCCGGGCCAATTACCCCCCAGTCATTATAAAGCGATGGAAGATGTCATCGACAGTGCTATCAAGCAGCACTTGTATCGTGGGAGCTTGCTCATTGACACCCAGTTTTGGTTCCACCAGGGTCATTCACCTCCTGACCTTATTAAAGCCTTAGTTCAAGCTTGGACAAAAAAACTGAATTCCAGAGAGCGACAACCCTTTACATCAAGGCTGCATTTTGACTGAGTGTGACGTCAAGGAGCCCTCGCAAAGCTGGAATCAATGGGAATCCAGAGAAAACTCTCTGCTGGTTGGAGTCATACGTAGCCTAAAGGAAGATGCCTGTGGTTGTTGAAGGTCAAGACATCTCAGCTTCAGGACGTCCCTGCTGGAGTTCCTCAGGGCAGTGTCCTAGACCCAACCATCATCATCAATGACCTTCCCTCCATCATAAGGTCAGAAGTGGGAATGATTGTATAACTTTAAGAGCCATTTGTGACCCTTAAAGTACAAAAGCAGTACACATCCAAACAAAGTAAGACATGGACAATATCCAGGCTTGGACTGACAAGTAGCAAGAAACATTCATGCTGCACTAGTGTCAGACAATGACCATTCCAACAAGAGAGAATCTATCCATCACTCCTTGACATTCAATGGCTGAATTTTCCACTGTCAACATCCTGGAGGTTACCACTGATCAGAAACTGAACTGAGCCAAATACAGTGACTACAAGAGTAGATTGGAGGCTCGGAATCCTTTAGCAACAAACTTACCTTCTGACTCTCCAAGCCTGCCTGTAATTTACAACACACAAGGCAAGCACTTGTGATTGAGTACTCTACACTTGCCTAGATGAGTGCAACTCCAAAAACACTCAAGAAGCTTGACACTATCCAGGACAAAGCTCACTCGACTGACACCACATCCACACACATTTAGAGTGGGATAAGAAGGGATAGAGTTTAAAGTTTTTTGAGAAGTTTTGTAGCTCGGGTTGTGCATGAGGTTGTAGCCTTGCTCACCGAGCCAGTGTGTTTGATTGCAGACGTTTTGTCACTCTGCTAGGTAACATCGTCAGTGCGCCTCCAGTTAAGCGTCGGTGTTCTGTCCCATTTGTTATTTATATGCCTCAGTTTGCTGAAAAACAGAACTGGAAGTGATGCCAACCACCCCAGCAAACCGAGGCATATAAATAACAAGCGGGACAGAACACCGACGCTTCACTGGAGGGCGCACTGACGGTGTTACCTAGCAGGATGACGAAACGTTTTCAACCAAACACACCAGCTCAGTGAGCAAGTCTACAACCTCAAGGATAGAGTCTACCGACATGAAAAGTGGCAAATAGGGGCCCGGGGAGATAAAATGGCCAAAAGGCAAAAGTAAAGTCTGTTTATTTAAATACACATTTTCAGAACAAAATAATTGACTTAATGACACAAAATAGAGGTGGATTGATATGATCTCATAGCCTTTGCAAAGACACAGCTACAAAGAGATTAAAAGTAAACTAAATGTGAAGGGATATGTGGTTTTTCAAAAAGACAGGCAGGAAGGGAAGGGTAAAAACTGAAAGAAAAGCGGATGCTATAAATCAGGAACAAAAATTGTTGGAGGTGATTATAAAAGATAGGATTTATGGACATTTACAGAGGCAAAAATCGATTAGTCATAGTCAGCATGGTTTTGTGCGAGGAAACTCGTGTCTCACAAACTTGATTGACTTTTTTGAGAAAGTTACCAAAAAGATTGTTAATGGCAGAGCAGTCGAAATTGTTTATTTGGATTTTAGTAAAGCCTTTGACAAGGTTCTGCATGGTAGACTAATTAGTAAAGTTAGGTCACATGGGATTCTGGGTGAGCTTGCCAACTGGATACATAATTGGCTTAACGGCAGGAGACAGAGTAATGGTGGGGGGTTGTTTTTCAGTCTGGAGGCCTGTGACCAGTGGTGTTCCACAGGGATCGGTTATGGGTCCTCTTTTGTTTATCATTTATATAAATGCGTTGGCTGAGAATATAGAAGGCATGGTTCGTAATTTTGCAGAAAACACCAAAACTGGTGGCATTGTAGACAGCGAAGAAGGTTATCTAAGATTACAAAGGGATCTTGATCAAATGGGTCAATGGACTGAAAAATGGCAGATGGAGTTCAATTGGATAAATGCAAGGTATTGCATTTTGGTACAACAGACAAGAGTAGGTATTATACAATTAATAGTAGGGGTTTGGCTAGTGTTGTAGAACAGATCGACCTGGGGCACAGGTATATAGTTCTTTAAAGTTTGTATCACATATAGACAGGGTGGTTAAAAAGGTGTTTGGATGCTTGCCTTCATTGCTCAGTCCTTCGAGTATAGGAGTTGGGACGTTATGTTGAGGTTGTACAGGACATTGGTGACGTCTCTTCTGGAATACTGTGTCCAGTTCTGGTTGCCCAGTTATACGAAGGATATTATCAAGCAGGAGAGGGTT